GTAAACACTTAATTGTATCGACTCTGGAATCTTGAAATAAAATTGTTAAATGAAAAGAAAAGATAAATAGTTACGTTAAAGAAAGTTTCTGTGAAACCACACAACTTTCAAGTCTATCCAACGTCATACCATCTTTTCGTGAAAGTATTTACTCTTGGACTATATGCGCGCGTTTATACTATAGTTTTAGTACAAAGTTAGTATAGTAGTAGCTAGCCAGCTTTGTTTGATGTAGAACATAGTGATGTTAAGACGTTGAAAGAAGTGTGATGAGTTTTCAGGGAATTTTCTAAAAAGCTTCGCACGTTTGCTACTCTATTTTATCCTTTTTTCATCTTTCATCATCGGTCTTAGTCACATAATAGACTCCCTTTCTGTTTCATTTTCACAAAATCATTGCAATAAAACTAGAAGTTTTCTTGAAGCTTCTAATAGTTTACATATACACTGAGAGGTTGGGGCGGGACAGTTTCAGTTCCTATTGTTTCTAGTAACTGGTTAAAAGAACTGGTGACCAGTTACCGTTACTAGTAACTGAAACTGCTCACCAGTTGTTTTTGAGTGATTCGCGACTTTTATTGGTATTGGTGAAACCATTCTCAAAATCGTAGTTTTCATAAAACTACGGTTAGTTTTTTGAAAATGTAATAATAGTTTTTACGATAGAGCAAGTCTCTAGCTTTCTTTTTTCAAAGGTTGTTCAAAAACAGTTCTACGGCAGGCTTTTTAACTAAATAGTCACATTAGTCACGTTACGTTTTCATAACTTTCTGTATCGCGTTTATATCTGTTGTAGTTAAATAAGTTAATTAAGAACTTAGAAGTGGAAGTCGGAATCGCAATGAGTCAATATATGAAAGATGAAAACCATGATGGAACAGTAGCATTTGAAGATACAAAACGATTTAAAGATTTAACCGAACAAGGGAGAACGGCCCGAATGGTAATAATCTTAACTGTTGTTCTCATATGTGAAAAAAAAAAAGTTCTTTTTTCGTTTAGATTCTCCGGACATTGGTAAGTGTATTAAAACTCAATAAGTTCGTGAAAAATCCTGTGAAACTGTTTTGTGCCATAAGCGAATAATCTAAGTATAAGGTAATTCTTTCATCGGTTTTTTTTTCTAATTTAGACCGGTGATGGAAACAGTCCCGAGTTGTAATCACGGGTGCAGCTGGACAAATAGCACGTTCACTTTTATATCAGATATGTAATGGAGATGTATTTGGACAAAACCAGATTTGTATGGAGTAAGAATGGTGTATATTTTCATCACTCAGTATTTGTTTATTTTTGTTTCTAGAAATTAATTGTGAATTTATTGGATATAACTCCCATGTTAGGCGTTCTTCAAGATGTTGTATAGGATCCTTTGGCCTGGGCTGGAGATGTTGATGTTAGTGGAATAATGCTGTCACTTCTCAACCAAAAAAATAAAGTCCATGCGGTAATAACTACCTACCATTACTTCACTACCTAGAATTCTAAGTTTTTTTAGCGGATACAACAACACAATTTGTCTCGAACTTCTCAATGGGAAAATATTGATGGAACGTCACTCTTTTCGACATTCCCATTGTTATCCGAAGAAGAGATAGGAGATATAACTTTAGGTAACATATCACAAAAGTTCTCTTATTCCACAAAGCCTTACGTGCTATTTGACTATTCTAGGGGTATTTCAGTTGAAGCGTGCAAGATCGTATGCCGAAGAGCATTGTTCTTCAACCAAACTAACAGAACCGGTTACTTATCTTGTCCAAAAGTGCAAAACAATCCCAAACATGATAAGAGTAACAACACAATCAGCACATGCGACACGGAAATCTTACCACGCCGTCATACAATTTAACAAAGACGAGATCACTAGCTAGTATTGCGAATGTCCAATCGGAAGCCGTATTCTTGGATGCTGTAGTCATATTGCTTCTGCCATTTGGTTCTTAAGCCACGAGCGTTGGCAGACCAAACCGCGTGTCATGCTCTCCGGCGATTTTCCGCAACTATTTACAGACAGTATTCAAGTTTCAGACTTTTGTGATTCAACCGATGATGAAGATGTAAATATTCGCTATTCTTTAAAATAAAAACACTTTGGCCTACATGACCGTAACCAGACACGCCAACACAAGTATCAACATCTTGTAGCCCGCGAAATTCTCTGTCGAATGAGATATAAAGTGGCGTGGTTAACGATAAACTGGTTGGACAATATAAGCAATAAACGCCGCTGACCTGTGGATTTGTGGAAGTGGAGGCTAGTATTTCTTGTGTTAGGACACCCGCGTCCCATTTGCTCTCAATATTATATATATAATTTTATAGCCCGCGAAATTCTTTATCGAATGACATATAAAGTGGCGTGGTTAACGGTAAACTGGTTGGACAATATAAGCGATAAACGCTGCTGACATACGGATTTGTGGAGGTGGGGGCTAGTATTTCTTTTGTTAGGACACCCGCGCCCCATTTGCTCTCAATATTATATATATATAATTTTGTAACCCGCGAAATTCTCTATCGAGTGAGATATAAAGTGGCGTGGTTAACGATAAACTGGTTGGACAATATAAGCTATAAACGCTGCTGACCAATGGCTTTGTGGAGGTGGGGGCTAGTATTTCTTTTGTTAGGACACCCGCGCCCCATTTGCTCTCAATATTATATATGTCATTTTGTAGCCCGCGAAATTCTCTATCGAACGAGTTACAGTAGTTTAGGTTTTCTTTGGGCAAAGAGGAGAAACTGATAAAATATTCTAAATAAAGTTCATTAAAGGGGAGAAAAGTGTGGATGCGGAATTTTTTTCCAGGGGGGGCTGAAAACGGATCTTTTGAGATGCTAGTTGTAATCAGCGGGAAAAACTACATTAGACCGATGAATATGAGCTTGATCTGAGAGGGGCCGATTTTGCCTCTTATCGACCCCCGTCGATGGTTTACCCATATATGGTTTACTTATCGATTGCATTTCAGCAAAGGAAGCAGATACAATTCGGTTTCTCATTTGTCAAACTTTTGATGACCGGTTATTTTTTATAAGTTCACGTCTAATGATTTTATAGACGGAAATGGTGAAAAGATTGTCATATTCAACCATTGTCATATTCAAACCATTTTCGTATTCGGATTCAGCACATTTTTCTATCTATTACCCACTAGCTTAGAGCTAAAAAGCGAGGTGGCAGTTGGTGACCTTCCCCCGTCAGTCTGTCTGGTGTCAAAAACACATTTTCTAATTCAATTTTCAACGCTGAATTAGAAAAAGGCTGTTTGAGAGTTTCAAAATGAAAAGGAGAAAAAGTATTCAACTTTTTTCAAAACGGAAAAGTTTTTCGGATTTTAAGACCCTTGCCGTATTTTCAATTTTCCGACGCGCAAACGTGCACTGGAAAGGCTAAAATGGCGATATTGGTGATCAGCTTCAAATTCTTTTTCGAATCATCTAAAAATAAAATAGTGCTTGATTTTTGAATTACGTAACACTACCGTAACACGATCCAGCATGTTTTCATGTTCAATTCAATTTTCACAGATGCATCTTTCTACGTTCAAATGTACAGATGCATCCGTCGTCAAAAGTAAAATATCATCAAGTTTATATACTACTGATCAAGATAATAAAGAATGATTTTTCTTCCTCTTCAAATAAAAACACTCCAAAACATTTCAGCCTAAAATTCAGCAAATCCTTACAAATTTCATTCTCTTTTTGAACAAAAATTTCCACTTCTGATAATTTCTAGCTTACAGAGATTCCTCAACGATTCTCCCACTTTATAGAAATCGTTGAATTTCTACTTACTAGAAAATTGTCTTGAATTTCCATAAATACGAATTTCTATAAACTGGAAAATTGATAAGCAATTTCTATAAAGATATTTCTCCTCGAATTTCCAACTTTATAGAAAATCAATCGAATTTCTATAAATAATTTCCACGATTGATGTCGCTCGAACGGACCAATGACAAACAAGAGGTGCGCAACAAAGAGGCAATCCCATAGCCACTGTGACAGTCATGGAAGGAATCTCTAGCGCGAAAGAGCGAAGAGATCGTTCTGTGTTACGAGGTTGTACACTTGAAGAGTGGTTTTGGTCAACGTTTTACGCGTAGAATCTCTTGTTGCTGCAGACTGACTGCTGTCAAGTTGATCTACATGGTCTACATTTCAATCGGAACTAACACACTACCCTAGTTGATGTACTGAGTGCAGGGTACCCGAAAAAGTACCCTGCTACCAGTATGTCACAGGAACTTTTGGGTACTCAAGTACCTTAAAGTACTTTTAGGTACTTGTAAGGTACTGGGGCGGGTAC